AGAACCATCACTAACTGGATGCAATATACATACAAAAACGAATAAAATATATGGAGATTTGTTTAACATTTCCTTACACGTTCTACTCTTTTGTCGACTAGAATTTAGGCCTACTTTGGTTTGGTTTGTATGAGTGCAATAAACCTGAACTCGTGTCGATTTTTGTGTTAATAGCGCAAATGAGGAGAAAGGATAAAATAAACAAAACCCAACTTTGGGTCATGTGCAAAATAAGGTGAACGTCCTGCTGTAATTCAATCAGCTGTAAACTAAAACTAAAGTCAGTCAACTTTCTTTAGCTTATATATTTAAAGACCAAACGATTGACTTTTTAGGCCTGAATATCATGTGGTACTTTCGCCAACTCAGTTCCCTGGCCTAGTTTCGACGGTGCGTAATACAAAAGACCTTGAAAGGACACTAACCCGAACAATACCCCTGCAGATAACACAGAAAAGAATGCGTAGATCCATTTGTATTTACAAACAATACTCAGTAACTATTTGGGAAAACAGCTTTTCCGGGCTATTTGTTGACCAAAAATAAAACTTAATGAAACTTTTATGAATATTAATGTCTTACAAAACGTGTGCTAAGCTGTTAATATGTTATTTTATAAAACAGATGCCGCTTTACGTGAATAGATTTAAATTCTTTCATCTGGAAACGTGTTTGTTTTGAATCAGAAAACCTGAAGCGCGTTTAATTAATGAGAGGTAGAATATATTTCGAAGCTTATTAGGTATATTTAGCGATATGCTTTACCTCTACCACACTTACCTGGGTATATCTAGCAGTATGTTTTAGCATTATCAGACGTATCTTGGTATATCTAGCGGTATGTTTTACCTCTATCAGATTTATCTGGTATATCTAACGGTATACTTTACCTCTAGTCCTCTAGTGGCACAGCGGTATGTCTGCGGACTTACTACGCTAGAAACCTGGTTTCGATACCCGTGGTAGGCAGAGCACAGATAGCCCATTGTGTAGCTTTGTGCTTAACTTCAAACAAACAAACTTTATCTCTATCAGAAATACCTGGTTATATCTAGCGGTATGCTTTACTCTATCAGAGCTATCTGAGATATTCAATTAAGTAAAACGTGGTAATCGAAATTATCTTGGATCGTTTACCATATCTTTAATTGTTGGTCTTTCCAAAAAATTAGAAGAGCTAGTAGCTCTTCTGGTTCATTACCATTAATAATTTCTTCAGTCAAACAGAGCTGAATTTATTGTCATTTAATCAATTTTAAAACCAAAAGTTTTTAGTCCTGGACAATTATACCACTTGGGGATCGGGATTCATAAATTCTTAAGTGCATAAACAAACTTTAAATGGTATGATAATGTTTGAATAGATTGTTTAATATAGCAATACAGTTTTTATTTTATTTTAAACAGAGGCTTTTCTAAATCATCGAATGTAGAATCATGTATTGTACATTTTGCCAAATAAAACTTTGCATATAAAACAGACCTTATAATATGTCAGTGTCTCATATTTTGCATGTCTACATCAGACTGATAGTTTCTGCTTCGTGAAGCAACAAAACAACATAAATTTATCTTGTTCCACATATAAGGTAAAAATACAAGACACGTACCAGCCTGTTCGAACGTGGAAAAAGTCACTCCTACAACACTCAACTATCATCCAAGAATAAAAAAAAAAACAACTAAGAAAAACAAACTATTAGGTCAACGTACAGCAGCATTCCAGGGTATTTGGCCATGAGTGAAATGTCTGACCTATATTGGTATAATGGGATATGCTTTGAGTTACGAGTTCCAGTAAGTGGTAACCAAAATAGCCATTATCAGAGAAAAACAACCCAAGATTCATGATCACCTGCTGTATTCTTAAATAGTCTACTTCGTCAAAAGGTTTCAGCAGTTATTCACATATCGAAAATTATAGATGGCACAGACACTCTTGTTTATAGCATTTCGAGCTACGTGTTTCGAGTTATGCCTAAGTCTTTAAAATGCGTAGCAATTAGGCCCAGTTTGACAATGAACACAAAGTGATGCAACAAAACAGAAAATATGCGAGCACTACAACCTATTATGCGTAAGATAAATATATGTAACAAGATTGTTACAGAAGGCAATATGTGGAAATATATGTAACAAGGTTGCTACAGAAGGCAATATGTAGAGTAACAGAAATGTGTGGATCTATATTTTTCACAAAAATTTTAAAAGTGTTTGTGTGTTTGTTTTTTGAGCCCTTTTTTTAAAAGCCACATTGGACTATCTGAGAATCGAACCCCGAATTTTAGCCTTGTAAATTTTTAAAACATGGGTTAGTATCGGTACATTCATGACAATATGAGTAATACAGGTAGAGTGACAGCACTGTTGTCGCTCCTTATTATAGAGACTTTATTTTAAATAGTTACGAAAATTATAGCACGCATTACACAGGCTTGTGAATTTAAACTTAATAAAAGTTCCATAATTCAGATACGCAGATTTCGAAAATAATATTCATGTTTTTCTATCACATAAGGAGAATTTAGAAATCGGGAAGAAAAAAAAACTCTTACTTATTATTATTCGTATACCACAATGAACATTTTTTATTATTATGTTTGTTAACAAAAATACAAACAAATTGAAGAAAAGAGAAGAGCATTGATGTCAAACAAATATAAATCGTCATTCATCCTGATTTTTTGTGAACTCTACGTCTTTTAGTCTCAAAACTACGTGGTGTGGTCTTTCTTTTATGTATTGCATTATGACATTTTGTGAAAAACCTGTACGTAATGGAGAAAAATGGATATCATTTTCGGATTCAGCGTACAGAAATTACTGTAGAACATTTAAAAATTTCAAGACAATAAAAACATCGCAGGCCTGTGTAATTAGTGTTTCTGTGTGCGTGTGTGTTTTCTTCTTCTGAACGTTTGATGACACTCATAGACGCAGTTGGAGGAAACTCACAATAGTTTTGAACAAAATAGCGCTAATTTGACTTTGCAACTTGAATAGAAGTATAGTTTTGTCGATTTTTAGACAATCAGTTTATTATCTTCTGTTGTCGTGGTGTGATGTAATTGCCTTTATTTCAGCTTTGAGAAGTCATAGGCTAGTGGCCTAAACTCCTAATGAAAGCTTCGCTTCTCTTCAACTTTTTAAAGCCAATATGGTTTCTTGGCTAGAAAAGATTTGAACAAAGTGATAACATTTTTGCTTGTTGATATTTTGATAGATGAAAGAGTTTCTGAACAACTTCCGCCACAGTTACAGTCCTGATTTTATTTAAAACTTGCAAAAAAAAAGGTTAATTTGTAATCTTATATTTTATTTGAATTATGGTGTTGCAGCATGTGTGTTTACTTTACGCATTTTGCACTCGGCCCAATCATGCTTCGTTTCGTAAAATTGGCCACTATGTTATACCTTGTTTACATTAGGCCTTATCTGCCTGTGTGACTGTTTGAATGGATAAATAAAATCAATGTAAATAAGTGCTAAATAAGAGAATATAAAACTTACACCAAAAGAAACCCCCCTGATAATTAAATTATAAACAATTCTGTTTACTTATAATTTTGGAATGTAAAAAGTTATTTAACATCAGTGATCAAGAACACATTGAAATTACATGCGGTACTTTTCGAATAAAAGCTCAGATTAAATTTACTGTCTTATAAAATAAAAACTTTCTAGAAACGTTTTACAAGACTATAGGAAGAAATAACAACAAGTAATTGAAAAACTACACTCAAGATAAGCATTATTGATTGTTTCTTAAGAAAAGACATATCACAATGAAATATTTTTAGTCCTCCAGTGGCACAGCGGTATGTCTGCGGACTTACAACGCTAGAATCAGTGTTTCGATACCCGTGGTGGGCAGAGCATAGATAGCCCATTGTGTAGCTTTGTGCTTAATTACAAACAAACAAAATATCTTCAAATTTTAAAAACTGTTT